TTTTCATTATCTCGACTGTACCCGGGTACAGTTTGTATCGAAGAAGTCCGCGGACGAGAGGGATGGATGGATTGCCATCGGCCGAATCGGGCGAGGGGCCAAGAGGGCCAGGCGGGGGAGGGAAGGAGACAGCGGGACGGGAGGAAAAGGGAGGAAGGAGGACCGACCGGAGAGCTCGAAGGGAACCTCGAACCGAGAGGCAGACGAGAGGAGACGAAGAAACGAGAGAGGACACGAAGAAGCGCGCACTATAGAGCGGACCGATCCAGCCGTGGGCCTGGCTCATTATAACTTTTATGACTGGTCATTTGGTCCACTCGGAGCCTTAACGCGAATGCCGACATGCAAAGGGCGCATCACCGTCACGGCCGAGACGGGTCTATCGGGCGGAAGTGTCCGTCGCGTTTAAATCCGGCGAAATCGGCACGGTATCGCTGAAGCGTAATGATATGCGCGGAGCTTTGCACTCTCCGAACACTGGGCATTTCGTATTTTGAGAGGACGGAATGGCCAGTACCACTCTGCGACTTGAAGATGAAAGGTCGCGTTAAAAGATAAAACCTATATATTGCGCGAGATATGCCGAGTATGTGAGTACATGTATAATTTATATTTTTATCTTGATTCTCTATTCAATGAAATGGTATAGACAGGTCGATGAACTATCTTTTTCAACGAACTTTATTTAAACTTCATTTAAATAATAACTCAACTTCTCTAAAATCTCTAAAAAAAAAATAAAGAAATCTTCGATATTTTCCGAGATATAATTTTAGATTTCATGATAGCTATTAGTGATATTAGTGATAGCTATTATACAAGAGTTTGAAAGATAAGAAATTTACGGTTAAATATTCTGCATAATTGAGTTTATTCCAAATATAAGGGTTTATTAATTTAGCAAAGTTTATTACTTTAACAAGTTCCGGAGAGTAATCCGATCTATCTTTGCAACGATCGATATACGCGCGCACATTTTAGCAAAGCGAAAATTTTGCTAAAACTTTTTAACGCAATTGACAAAAATCACGTCCAACGCGGAAGCGTTAACGTCTGCTGATCTCACGGACCGTACGGTGACCGCCGATTTCTCCACGCCCTCTTCCAGTTCCGCCATTTGACCGATCTCGGCGCTTCGTGCTTTCCGGACCCGGCTGTAATAAACGTCTAATTTAATAACCCTAACCCGAGAAGCCGCGCGCACCCACGCGTTGTAGCTCGCGGAAAATTTCATTCCGATTTGCGTGATAGGTAGCAGACATGCCGCGTATGAGGAACGAAGGGGTCCATCTCCGCGGACCCCGCGTGGCAGCGCTGTTCTCCTTTGCCACTGCTGTGGAATCCGCGGCTAAATTAACTTATACTACCTTAGACGAAACAATTTCACGTAGCTACTTTCCGCCGTAAATTGACTTGCACGTACAACGCGTATGTAATAGAGCTTGAGTTGGGCCTGAGATACGAAGGTTCAGGGCCGCATACAGTCCTCTTTATAAAAAAAAAGCGCCATAATTATCATTATGTTCCACGTCTTTTGGAAATTTTAAAGATGATTTTATTATGACAAAGTTTCAAATCTCTCGGAATTGTTTATATTTAATTCAAAAAATTATTTTTTATCTGGGGCGGTAATGAATTGTCTTTTCAACAATTAGCGACGTCTCGACCTTTTTTTATCATTTAGAGGCCCGAGAAGCTGAGTTGTTACACGGAGAGAATTTCCTTTTAAATATTACCCTGAAAATCACGTTAATCGTGAGACAACATAGTATATCCTCAAGTTTTATGTGATTTTCTCTGTTTTTTTACTGCAGTCAATTTTTTGTAGTACATATTAAAAAAAATAGTGAAAATTACATAAAATTTGTCGAAATGTTATATTATTCTACGATTAACATGATTTTTAGGATAACTTTTAAAATAAAATTCTCTTCGTGTATTTAAGTAAAGTTTATATGAAGTATTAATTGAAAAAGATGAAGTTCTTCCATGTACTTAGGATCTTTTGCTCTTCAATTCGCTAAAAGTCTTTACACTTCAATATTTAATATTTGCATAATCAGAGATTTTGCCAAACTTTCAACGGAAGAAAACCGATTTCGAATTCATTGAGGAGAATTTCATTACTTTTCAACAGCTCGTGGTAAAACTCGAGTACCTTTACGTGTCGTTGAATGTAATATATGCATATGTAATGTGTGTCAGTATGTGTGTAATATTGTTAAAATACAATTGTAAATGTAATATAGTTTAAATAGATATATTTTAATTGTACATATATATACAATATGTATATATATACAATTGATTTGTAAATAAATAAATAAATATATATATATATATACATATAAATAGTATATAAAATACAATAAAATTTCCATCTAAAGAAATAAAATTTACATTTTAATGTATAATTGTGTATTTAATATAATTTAAATATGTATTTTTTATATACACATAAAATATGCAATTAAAATTCTTTCTTGCCTTAAAAATCTAACATAAAATCGACTAGCATCACACTAAATTTTCCTACATTCTTATAGGTCTCCTTCGCAATCCTTTGAAGACGCGGCCCTGCGCGACGAACGTATCCCCCTCCGTTCCTCAGTCAATCGCGCCGCGGCAGATTACTCGATCTTTTATGCCTCAATTATCATACCGAGCCGTTATTAAACTCGCGCCGGGCGTACTTAGTGTTCCCCCGTTATGTTTCTTCCGCTTAACAATATTCGGTAGCGACCGCGTGTCTGCGAGTGAAACACACGCAGGAGGAACGCCGAGCGTTCTACGCGCGCGAATTATCAGTGGGAATTATCAGCGCGATCAATCGCGAGTACCGATCTGAAAAATTAAAGAGCACAGACAATTGTACAAATGCCCGATCGATAACAAATAAATATAAAAATCAATTTGAAGTTCGCGACAAGCTCTGTTTTTTAGTTTGTGGCGGGTAATCTGACATGTATCTGTACATTAGTCGATATTTTAAGTAATGACATGATGCGTTATAAAATACTGACGTCAGTATCAATATCATATTGATTTTGCTTCCTAGAGAGGAAATTTTCAAATATTCTTAAGAAAAATTTTCAAAATTTTTCCTAAAAATTTTGAAAATTCAAATATTCTTAAGAAAAATTTTCAAAATTTTTCCTAAAAATTTAAAAACAGATATTTAATTTTTTTAAGCTCTTAGAAAAATTCAGAAGTTTTCTAAATCTTGAAAATTTATATATCTTTATATTATTCTCTATCTGTCTCTATTGTTATACATTAAGAATACAATTTTAGGAATATTCCTACTTTTTTTTCAATATTATACATATTTTCGTCTTGTGAAAACTAAGATGATAATTTCTATGTTTCTTTTTATTCGTCACAAATAACATATTTATTTGCATACGTTATCACGCTGTAAAAAATACGTTTTCTCGCTGGAAAATAAAATCTGCTGTTGAAACTTGTTATAATCGAATAAACGCGGCGGCCGGTGGTCGCTGAGTAAACAGAGCAAACCTTTCGCGAGGACAGTCAACGTCGCAAGTTGGACGCTGCTTCTGAGTTTTGCTCGACGTAGGAAAAAAAAGAATCCGCGAATCGACGGTGCACACGCGAGAGATAGAAAAAAAGCTCTCGCGGAAACTCAGAGCTCTTTTTTCCTGGTCGATCGATTAGAATATTGTTCATTTACTCCCTTCGCCTTCGTGCGACACTCCTTCCTCGGATATTTATAGAACGTAGCTTTGCTACCTGTCCTGAGTTTGCGCGCGCATAATAAAAGAGCAAAAAAGGCGAACGCGGAAATGATAGGGTGACTTCTCGTAGGAAGACTTGACAGTCTGGCATCGATTAGCTGCAGCGAAACGGAAAAGTAAAACTCCGAATATGCTTTTACGCTTACGATTTTTAAAATATGTTAATCTTAACACTTATAAAATCGACTTTCCTGAAAATCAAGTCCCCGTGCTAAAAATATTCCCTTCCATTTATATCTTTTATTTAATCCTTGACGTCAGAAAATCTGCCTTCATTTGTATCATTAATGTCCTGTGTACCTATTAATATACCGATGAAGAAAATATTAATGGACGCAATCGATTTCTTTGACAACTTCGATATAGGATTTTATTAACAATCCATTCAATAATTGTGTAATTAACAAAGAATAATCGTGAAAAGTTTAAAACATCAAAATTTTATAATTCACTATACTGGGTGTCTCATAATAGGTGTATCACCGTTCATGGGTAGGTAGAACGGACTAAACTGAATCGAAAAGTCCTCTACCATTTTGCAAAATTCGCAATCGTTAACAAGATATTAATTTTTGAAGATCGGCGAATAAACTTAATATCTCGTTAATAAATACAAATTTTTACAAAATAGTAGAGGACTTTTTTGTTCAGTTTAATCTACTTATCTTGCCACGCACTTGCATTCAACGGTGGGCCGGATGAATACGCGTTTATTCGTCAATCTTCAAAAATTAATGTCTGGTTTACGATTGCAAATTTTGCAAAATGGTAGAGGACTTTTCGATTCAGTTTAGTCCATTCTACCTATCCATGAACGGTGATACACCTATTATGAGACACCCTGTATGTATGTTATATGTCTGTTCAATGTAATTATTGTTATTACATGACATATTTACGTTACAATACATTATCATTATACGTTGCAATTTTTAATTATCTTAAGATACTTTATATTCTCTTTATTTTCTCATACCCACGCATGAAATGATTGTAAATTTTTGAAACACCACATTATCAGTAAAAAGCTTTGAAAAGCATTATGTAGAACGAGAGGGGAAAACTTTCAGTTTACTTAAAGAACTATCGTGCAAAATTGCTATCGAGACTAGAGTAAGGCATCATCACGCCGTTAAAACGGCACGTATTCCGCGCCACGTGAACTTATCGCAGATTACAAAACTTGGAAGAGTATACAAAAATGCATTGGAGACGGAACTGAATAACGTTACCATCGATTGACTATGTAAAAGACTCGTCGTCCGCATCAACGAATTCATTCATCGGCCAACTTCTCTTCTCACGAGAAGAGAGCTAAATCTGGAGAAAGCGATTTTATAACCAAGACGTGAAACTCTGCGACGAGCTGTCCATTTTAAGGTTACATTTAGAAGGGATCAACTTTTGATTTTGATACGTCGCACAGGTTTAATATGCTTTGGTTAATCGTATTAAGACTGCGCGTCACGGAATGTAATATTTATCGTGTGTAATATTTATCAAAGACTGTTCTGTCATAATATATATATATGAATCTTAATCGGCCCATCACAGCTCTTATCGAATTATTGCGGATATTTTTGCCGTGCCAATTTTTTGTCGCGGACCTTCTCCACCCTCGCAAGACGCACGCACACGTGTTGCGGATCGAACGGATAGCCCGTGTTGTTTCTTTTTTGCTCTCCTTCTCCACCTGTCCGACCTTTTTCCCCGAGATAGAAAAATCGAGATCGTTACCGCGGCGTATCGGGAACGAATCGATCTCGGATCCTTTTTTTTTCCGCGTTTTAGGTTGGCCACTTAACCCTTTCCTCCAAGAAGAATTGACGTATTTGAGAGTCTCAGAACAGAAGAGCTACTATACATGGGAATATAAAGCAGCGAAGATTCGCTCTGGCATTTTCTAAGGTCTTCGACCGATTGAAACCGGTGCAAACAAAATGCAAAGAAGTTTCGAGTCAAGTCAAGATAAATCGTTGTTAAAACTGAAAATATCGCAATCAAGGATTTTAAATCGGTGCCAAGAAAGGAACTCGTTTCACGCGTCAATCCTGGACTGACTTTTATTGATTCCCAACCCGAGAAAAAAATTTCTATGGCCTTCATCAAGGTGGATTTGTTTGATGCTTTAATCAAACTGCGAATGAAGGATTGATGATGTCTGCTTGTGCATCCAATTGCAAATATTCTCTCCCCCTTCCCCCCTTTCCTTATATTCACATATTTTTCTGAAAGTTGTAATAACTGTTGTAATAACTTTATCAAATTAAATTACAAGAAGTACAATCGTAATTTATCTTGTTGACTAATTCAATATTCATTACTTTAATCTTACTAGCTGTTAAAAATTATCTTCCATGATCGTAATGACATCGAAGTTTTTCCATTAAAAATTCTTGATTGCGTTAATAAGAAAACACACCGAAGAAGTATACAATAAGAACACGTTAGTTAGCCGGATTAGACGCTTAATACATAATTAATTAACGGCAACCGTTTGCATTAACGTCGCGGTGAGTCGTCGATTTCGCGGCGGTCATCGTGAGCGTGATTTTTCTCCTGGCATGAGAAAGCAAACACGTAAACGCGCGGTATCATAACACCTGCACGGAGTCCAAGCACAGGATAGTGCGTTCCTCCCGGTGTGTCTCCCTTTCATATTCGAGTGGCTGACGCGCCGACGTGTCTGTCGTGCTTTCAGAAAAGTCTGTTATTTTTAAGGCCGAGATGCACGACTCGATATTTGCCGAGCGTGTTTACCGGCCGCCCTTAATCTGTCGCGTTGCCTTCGAGCATTGAGGAAAGTTTACCAATGCGAGATACCACTGTACACGCCCGACCAATCGGAGACTGTCGTGATCTTTTGAGAAAATTCCCTTTTCCAAGGAATGGAAAACGGGACGCGCGATTGCCGAGGAACTTGAAGTAATAATATTTCATATCACAATGACACTGTGACGGTGGAGAGTAGAAAATGTAAAGAAGCTGTATGATGTGCTATCTTAATATATGTTAAAAAATTGTTTAAATTGTTTAATATTTTTTTGAATTTATAACAGTACTTAAATTAAATAATAAATTTAATTTATATATAAAAGAAAGAAAGAAGTGGCGAATACGAGTCAATTTATATATCTTTTATTATGTACATTAATAAAATATCACACAATGTCATTTTTTTTCTAAGTTAATTTTAAATGTTTTAATTCAAACAAAAATATTTATACAAACATTATATATAGGTATATCCGATCACATACTGTGTTGACTACAATTAAAATTCGCGAGATAGACCAATAATGGTCATAGCAGAATCTTGATGCTCACTAATTTCATGTGATTTTATATACATTCTTCTAGTTCTACAAACTGTGTTATTTTCGGTTTCGACGCAGTTCTTAATTGAATCAGAATAATAATATCACATTATTAAATTGATAATTTAATAATACTGATGCTTACAAGCACCTAATAAGATTCCCAACCCCCCCTCCCAACGTAATGCGAGAATGCTGTAAAGAAATTTTACTACAACAAATATTACCTCAGCCAGGAAAAATATTTATTTTTATAAAAAATAAAATTGATTATGCGAACTACTTTTCTGACTTTATTGTTTTTTATTGTTATACATTTTTTAATATAATATGGCCGTGTTCCCGATATACACTATATTAGTACTAAAAATCTATAGTTCATGGTATATCGGAACACAGTTTGTATTTGAAAGATGTTGCAAACAATTTTTTCTAGTAGTTCTGATGTTCTCGTTTTATTTTCTTCGAGAAACTGATAAAATGTTCAAAATTTCAGTAAAATTTTAGATAGTTCTCTTTCATTGGTTTTAATTTCTCAAAATTTACTCGTTTATCGGTCGATTAAAACTTTCGGATTCGACCGTGTGTCGTGCACCATTTGAACAGAGATAATCTTTCGGAATTCTTTTTCCCGAACGAGTATACGTGCCGGCAATCAGAAATGACGCGGAGCCAATAAATCCGAAAGATTACGTCCGCGTTTCGCGAGGAAGTTGTAACGAAGTTGTAAGTGGCCCGTCGTGGGAAACTTTGAGGTGACGTCTACGACACTGTAACGAATGCAATTTCATTTTAGTCGGTCGGGGTGCGTTGTAAATCGTGAAATTCCTTATTATAGAGAAGACAAAACGGGTCTCTAACTGTTTTCATCGATGTCGAAAAGCGGTCAAACTATTGATTCTATTTGCGAAAAGAGTAGTCAGAATTACATAATAAAATCGCTAAACTAAATTGCGATAAATTATTATCTAATAAAACATCTCGCAATTGTTATATCGCGATACTTACTCAAGTCTATTCACTAATTTCAATAATTATATAGACTAAAAAACTAATACATTGTAATTTCGTTGCCTTTAATTAATAAAATGTTTTATTTATTTTTATTTTAAACTTTTTTTGAATGCATCTGATTGTCTTCGAAATGATTAAATGTGTTTTTATTACGTGTTATAAAAATTCAGTTACTTATGAAATTTGCGGTAAATTAAAGACTGACGTAAAATGTAACATGTTGTAATGAAAGATTACAGGAAAATATCCTAATATTAACATACTGTTGCATGCAAACAAAGATTGATAAATAAATTATCTCGGGATAATCGGCACTATTGCATTTCACGGGAATTATTCGTAATCAAGCATTAAAAATTTGAAAAGCAATTTGCTCATTGCAGTTTGAAATTATTGGCACCTTAATTGGCAGACTAATGAATGCCATACAATTACAGCCGGTCTGTTTTCGACCTATTTCATTCTTTTTGGATCAATATTCATTTGCCACTTCCATTTGATGCAAATTGAAAAATGCTTTTTTCGTTACGAATATAAATAAATAAATAAATAACCATTGCAATTATATTATATTATTTCAATAAAATTCAAGTAGCAACAAGATCAGAAAACCGTAATCGACAGATTGACAGATTGGAAAATAATCTTATTGAAAGACAATCTCATTATCACCTAATTTTAGAAAAAAATTTTTAGATTTATAAAACTGCGTTATAATTTTTAAACGTATAAAAGTTTCACGCGCACCACTCACACATTTCATTTTAATCTGTTATTACTTTCAGTACGATTAGCAGAATCTAATTAACAAATGCTCAAAAGATTGCCGTAATCGATATAAACGACCGGGCCAAAAAAACAATTAATTTCGCTCGTTATAACATCCTTTCGGAAAAATATTTTCGTCGCAGAGCTTGTTAATTAAGGCGTGAAATTGTTGCAACAATGTGCGTACGTCGGTCGTATCGGGAGCGTTGGCAAGCCGATTGTTGACGCACACTCGCACGCACGCACGTTTATGCACACGACGATTTGGAATTGAGTGCTCGTCGTAATTACGCTCGTATCTTCGACGGCCAGGCGCCGGCCATTCAATTTTTATTATCGCGGAATATCCAGTTCCGGCTGCGCTACATAATCGCGTTTGGCGCCTCGGCGCACTCGGGAATTACCCGGTTCGACGCCCTTGAAATTATTACGAAACGCTTATTCGGCGGCCATCAGGATCTACCGTGCGGCAGATAAAATGGTCCTTAAAGGCTCGTCTCTTTCATTTGAGCGGTGCAATTTTTTTTTCAGCTTTATCGCGTAAAAGCAGCTCGTAAGCGATACGCATATTCCCGCGATCTCTCGCTGTAAATACTACATTCCTTAAAATCATTTTATCATTACGAAAGGTTTTTATGTGCCGACGGCATTGTAAAAAGTGATCCTCGATTATATAATTATTTGTAACATGATAAATGCAAAAAATCTTTCACATATACACATGTCTCACATGTGTTTTCTATCATACGAAAGTTTGGAAGCATTGCTTTTTTTACAAGAACAAAAGTGATGGCAATGTTAAAAAAAAACGCTATATGAGAAACTTTATTGTCTTTTTTAATTATTCCACTTAACTATTATTGTATCTAATCAGTTTCCAGAAATATTGTATTTTATTTAAAGGAGTTTATCGATTGAATGTGCTATGTTATTATTCTATTATTAAGAAAAAGTATTTTCGTGCAGATTTGAATGAAATATAATTGTTATTGTCACATTTATTTACTTGCTCATCAATCACAGCCTGACATTCTAGCAAAGAGAAGATTATGATTTCTTATTTTTATTTTTTTATAATGTGGTTAAAAATATTCAATAATAATTAACATTAAAAATTACTTAACATAAAAATTAATGAGTAAGATATCTCGAATTTGTGTGGTAGTAATTAAAAATAGGAGTAGACATTTTAATAATTTAAAAACACAATTGAAATTCAGGTCCTAATAATTAATTTTAGTTAAAGCGTTTTAGTTAGAGCGTTAAAATTATTGTAAATTTCATAGTAATTAAAGCTTTATAATTTATTTTTTACTGTGTTCTTTACAAATTTTCAACTGCCTCCGTACTATTGAAGCAGTAGTGTATAGAGTGTATATTTTTAATATAAGGCCAATTTATTTTATTTATAGCAATAATGATAGAATATACACAGAAAGAACGATTTTGTTGAAAGGTCTAAAAATTTTGCTAAAAACATCTGAAAATAATTTTTTATTGAATCATCAAAATAATTTGGTGGAATGTTAAAACTGATAAGCATTGTTATAAAACGTTTTGCTATTCTAGCAATTATTTTGACTTCCGTACAAAAAATACGTAAAAATTATTTTAATTATTGAATAAAAATTATTTTCAAATCTGGATTTAACAAAATTGTTCTTTCCATGCAGAATAAAAAAAACTGATATATTTATATATAATTAATTGAATTATTGAATTATTCAGCAAAAATTATTATTTTCTGCATTTAACTTCTTTTTAAAGTGCGCTAATTAACAATGTAAGATTATTCACACAAATGCGATCTTTTTCGAATCATAAAGAGAGTGAAAATCCTCTTAGGCGCAAGGACTTCTTGATCTCTCGATCCAAGCTCACGGCGCGAATTAATTCGATCCACCCAGTGGCCAACCAATTTAACAATGAATAATGTTTGCGAAAGAAATTGCGGCGAATTTCGGAATAAGTTTAATTAGCTTTCGTACCCGGGGTAATTAGAAAAAAATTTCAGGATTAAGCGGCCATTGTCCCGATGCCGATCTTGAATGGCGGGCCGCTGCCGTCGCTGCCGACGGGATATTATACAGTCGCCTGTAAGGAAGACCAAACTGACTCCTTCACAAAGGATTATTAATTGACTTCTGTCTCGTATCAGAGGGTCGCAGACGCTCGGAAGATCCTTAATTATCCTTGAAAACGGCAGATCTTTGTCGTCTGAGATTGCTTCCCGTTGCAGCCCCGGTATAGTTTGTCCGTAGATTGTCGACCGAATGGACAATCGTAACGTGATGAGATTTCATCGAAACTTGCGATACAAAACGCGATGGATTTTACGATCTTAATATTGATATAATCATACCGTGAAGTCGATGTACTCCATTCTCATGGCGTGGTGCAATTCATGCGTGATATTCGACGGATTTCGAAGAGAGTATCTTTATAATTAATAACGATGGCTGATTAATTCATCAGCGGTATTGATAGAAGATTTCTGCGGCCGATTGTTTGCCGAGATCTAAAGATGCAGAAAGGGGGAGATTCATCTGTTCCCTGGCGGAATATTCTTCGCAACGGGAAACAACGGCGGGTGTATCGCGGCGATAAATTGGCAAGGGAGCGTCTTGCTTTTCGCCGGAGATGACGACGTGCAGTGCGGTACAATGAGAGAGCATAATATTCAGTGGCTGTGCGAATTGTCTTCCACCCCAGAAGTCACCCTCCCCCCCGGACCCATGATTGACTGTTTGCAGACTGGGTGTCTCTTAAACAACGGAAACGGACCGGTCTGGTCGCGACAATGAGACGCGACTTTCGAAGAAATATGAGAGAATATTTTGCATAATGTGAAACGAGAAATATAAATGATAGAATATCGTGTCAGAGTTTTCAAAAATTGTGATGTGACCTCTGATAGTTAAATTACTTTCTAATTTTAAACTTATTTTAAACGTGTGCAAAAAAATAATTGTTCAAATTGTTTAAAAGAGCTGAAAAAGGATACTGATAAATTGATTGATCATACTCCAATAAAACGAAAATTATAAGTAATAAATTTGCGACATATTTGTAGTTGACTTGAAATTAATTGTTGTAATTTATTAATAAAATAAAACGTTCTTGCTATGCATTTTAAGCATTTTTTGATACAATGCAACATAGATTTTAATTGTCACTTGTTTATTGAGTTAATTCGTGATTCATTGATAAAATAAACGCTTTTACTATTCCTTTTTCAATTAATTGATACAATAAAGATTTTAATTTTTAGACACTTGTAAATTATCCGTATTATGCCATTTCTTTTTTTTTATACAACATTGTAAAATTGCGATAACGATACATGTACAATTGTCATTCGCCAGTGTAAAATCTTTCATGGAACGTGATCTAGCAACTATTCTCGATATTGAAAGACGCCATTTACTGGTCGAGTCCTTAAATATCGCGCCTGAGGGTAAAAATTTGCATCGAAAGCGAAAGCGGAACACAACCGAGGGGTATGAGAGCGCTGATGGAAATGAAAAAAACAAAGCGTGAACCAGAACTTATCGGAGGACGCGTATAAATACGTCGTTCCTCCTCTACTTATTTCATTCGCGACGACCACCCATTGATTTTTCTACATTGAATGTAGAACGATAGATTTTCGATGCCTTTATATCTTTTATTCGCGAAAGAAATGTGCATTGAAACAATTATGCGAAATGTGCAGTCCTCAGCCTACCTTTAACGGAACCTAACCGTTAAAGGTGGGCTGAGGACTACAGTTCGATGATAAATATAACATTTTCGATTCGGAAGAAAAGTTATACGTACCACGGGAGGTAAACGATACGAAACAAAATCTAACAATGAAACAAAATAAAACGTACAATCGACGATTAACGTGCTCGCTTACGCGAACCTTTCTCTGCCCGTCCCACCATAAAACACATACGTATATATATACGTACGCGAAATATTTATCGCGCGCGGATTAGGGATCGCTCGAAAGTTTTTCGGTCTTATCTCTCGCCGAGTTCTTACGGCATTGTGCCGTCTGCGAACTCATCAGCGTGATGGACGAGTAAGTGTAGAAAATCGTGCCGCGCCACTTCGAAATAGGTTCCTGATGTCTCTCTTGCTGCACGGGTGCGCGCGCGCGCACACACCTACACCAACCCCCGGCCCTTCCGCTTTTCTTCCCACGCTTTCCCACCCGTTAATGCTCCCGCCGCGATAGTTCGTCCGCTCGAAATCGCTATCATCTACGGAAAGGCGCGTTTATTTCGCGCCGCTCTAACGCTTATCTGGCGCGAAACAAGCTGCCGTTCTTTACCACCACCTCGGTTCGCGTTGTTAATCATTTTTTTCTTTTTTTTTTTTTTACGAGCGAATCGTTCCGGATCGCTCATCGTTTGGCGCGAGCGAATTTAATTGAACACCACGGATTTTTCAACCTAATTAATTTTACGGATTAAAGCGCTCTTTACTAACTGCAATGAGGAAACATGTATAATCCTTTAAGAATTGCTGTCGCGAAGTAATAGAAATTATTTACGCTTTATGCTTACATCTATTTTCGGAAAACGGAGGAAAATTAGCGAATTCTCTTCTCTCGCGAGTTATATTTAAGTCTGTACAAGTCCGCGATTATATTCACTAACCCGCATTTACAAACGCTCCGGCATTACGCCGTGGCGTCGGCAAATTATCTCAAAATTATTATATCAACGCGACGTTAGGCCGTACAGAGATGTGCAGGGAGATGGTCTAACGGATAATTTCGCCGTCCAAAATAAAAAAAAAGAAAAAACGCGGCGGGAAAAATCCGCATGGATATGTTTTCCGATTTAATGATTATGCGCGGTTTACGGCGCACGGGAGTTTGCGAGCGCGCGCTTTCGCATAATCTCGCTCGAAAGTATCGCGTCAATAATCGCCTGATTAGAATTTTATGATTACGAGTGCCATTCGCGAGACGGGGGAGCCGGATCGCAAATGCGGGCACGAAATATACGCCATGCGTATGCATGAGTCGGCTGTAAATAATCGCTCTCGCCCCAACATTGGCTGTAATTTATGGTTAATTTGACTGCGCCTCGCGCTTTGATGGCTAATAACTGGGACTAATGGCGAGGCCTCTTAATGCCGCGGCGTCAAAAGCCGATGGATTTCAGGACAATAACGATCGGTCGCGCGTTCAGGCCGATAAAAAGATTTGATCGCCCGTGTTTACCGATTTTGAAACGCGTTTGTCTTTGGCGTTTAATGTGTGATCTATGTGATAAAATTCTGTAATGTATATGTTTAGTTTTTACTTTATTCGTATTAACAGCAATAACTGTTTCGTTGTTAGTGTGAGTCTCTCTCAACTGTTATTTTTAGAAATATAGAATTTTACTACAATAAAATTATTAAAACGTTTTAATTTTTATTATTATCTTTTCAATGAATGACAACAATCTTCATATCTGAATGTATATTGTAATCATGATCTTTTTATGTTACGATGAAACTTGAATCACGTTCAATAACGTTAAAGATTTGCAATAATAAAAATGATATACAGATCAGGTCGTAAGTCGGATATAATCATGAATATCAACGATCGAGAGAGAGTACGTGTATTTGAATATCAATGAATAAATATCACGAATAATCAATAATTAATTTACAGAGTCCCCTTGTTCGACACTTAAATTTTTCGCGCTGGTACACAGCCTAGCATGTTTCTCTGGTTAAAATTTCGGTTAACGGAAACAATTAAAGAAATAAAGCACTTACACACGTGATGGTCAACTATTTAATAATTCCACTCGATACCAACGGATCGCCAGTATAATACGACTGTACTGCTTGCGTAACAACGTTAATAACACTCGACGCCGATGGAATCTATAATCAAATTACAACGCTGCCATCCTGTGACACTGTATGGGTTCTCGCCACCATAATTCCAAAGTATTTCGAGCGGATGGAAACCACGAGTTTTGCGTCCGAGTCATTCGCCCGAAAATTATTTTGATATAGACTTGAATATTTACAGTAATATCTAACAATGTCGAGCCGCGAATTCATGCTGATATATCGCGAGTACCAAAAATCTATCGATGTCGAAACACCGTTTATTATAAAAACAACGATTTCTGAATATCATCAATTTTTAAGTGTGATCGCAAACAAAATGATAATTTGTCAATTTTCTTATTTTCTTAAGGTAAACCTCACATTTTTTAATTATACGTGGCATTTCAATCTCAGTTTTGCATTACATTTTTAAATTATTTTTATGAATATAAAAGAAGCTTTTTCACTCACCCCACTGCCAACAGCAAAGATCTATCCATCCGCACCCTGATGCTGCAAAAAAAGTAGAAAAAAATTGGAAACTCCATCAAACTCAAATTAAACTTATGAATTATTAAGATAGGTAATATTTTTATGTGAATTTTGTCATCACTTGATTTTGCGCAATATATCTTGAAATATATGTATAATTTAACAGTTCAATACATTTTTATATTTATTTCTAAATATAAAAGTACAATTTATATCTGCGTATACGTCATATTTTCCTTCTTTATGCTAAAAGCTGTGGAGCAATATTAATCATTCCAGTGACTGGATGTCGAAATGACGCTAAAAATGAAAATATTCGCTACAAAAGGCAGAAAATGTTAAAGATAATTAAGAATGACGACAGCGGCTTAACAAAAAGTAGGAGATCATCGCGATATAATACGACCACCTACGTTTCCTAACGTATTATTTAATACATGCAAATGCATCGGTAATACTTTGGCGTTGCAATGCCGAGCGTGATGCCCGGCCGCGGCATAATAAGCGCCGTCAGCGGGCGCGGTTCGTTAATGAGAATATTATAATTGCAAAAGTTCCATTTGCTGAATCAACGCTGAGATAAATTATTGATGATCGGAAAACACTAACTGTATTCTATGGCGCGTGCTTGACAATGCGGAGTTAGCATTAATTGGCAGTGACTGCGCGAAAACGAAAAAATATTCTTCGCGCGCGATAATAGAATTCCGTATTAATATTCAAATTTTATTTTTCGTCTGGCAGACGGAGTCGAAGCGCATAATTTAGACTCGCCTTAGTTATATAATGTCATGGTTTTCAATTCGGATTAGCTAAATATATAAATGTAAATTAACAATTTGCAATTGTTCAATTAATAAATTTACGATTCTGAATAAATAACTGTATTTGCACGGAAAGAATTTCCTTTTAAATATTATCCTGAAAATCACGTTATGTCGTGGGACAACACAGAATTTCGGTAAATTTTATGTTATTTTCTCTGTTTTTTTACTGTGCACTACGTAAATTTTTTGTAGTACATATTAAAAAAAATAGTGAAAATTAAAATTTGTCGAAATGCTATGTTATCCTACGATTAACATGATTTTTAGGGTAAATTTTAAAATAAAATTCTCTTCGTGTGTAATTAGATGCATGCTAACGTAACGAAATTGTTGCACAGGTATTTCGATACAAAGTACACTTTGCAAAATCGACGTGTCGCATGCGGTTACGCGCGCAAGAACGATCCCCGCCTCTTAATGCAATCGAAATTAAAGCCGTAATGCGGAAAGTTGTAGATCTGGCAGAAATTGCCGTGCATCTTACCGAATCCCGCAGGACGAGTCTGAGGAGGGAAGCGCGCGCCGTGTATGCATATAAAGCGAGGATACACGAGGGTTGGTGGCGAGCCTTGCTCGCCAGAAATTGTGTTTATACCGGCGCATAAAGAACGTTACGGAACGCGCGGGTGGAGGCGGCCGCGTCGCGAAAATTTAAAGTAACAAAAAGGTACGGCGAAATAACGAGAAATAGAAATGCCGAGACGAACGGGCGCGCCACGTATTTATTCCGCCACAGGGCGTCTCGCATTTCGTGCGTTTCCCTCAGTTTTTTCTTTAAATTTTTTCAATTTTTCTTTCAAGAAATCTCCTCTCTTTTTTTGGAACATAAAAATATCCAGGCATCAATAGGGTTATTAGCTTGAAGAATTGGAATTAAGTTAAATGACCGAATAAAAATTCAATTGATTGAATTCAA